ACGAGCTGCAGAGGTGCATCCGCAAGAAGAAAGTGGTGGGAGATCGGATGTTTGTAGAGGACTACCACAACCTCAAGAAGAGGATCCGCTTCTTGTACAAGCGCTTCAATCGCTATGGGAAGCACCGCTAGGAGGAGCTGTGGATTTAGCCCATGGAGCACGGTTTTGTGGTACTGCAGTCAGAATAAAGTCAGCTTTATTCACAGTTGGGGTCCCAGCGCTTTCTGCAGCCTCCGTTGCATGTTTCTGTTCCAGCCCTAAGGTCCTTGCTGCTGCTCCGGGCCTGGAGTCCTCTGCGCATGTTCTGTCCCCGTGTCTGGTGTATTTCTCACAAAGCTGTTCCAGCCTGCATCCCTGGGCTTGACCTGAGAGCCCCTCTTTTTTTGGCCAAGCTTCCAGCATGCTTTTGGTCTCCGTGAGGCCCATATTCTCACACCCTACTTGACAATTTCAATATGCTTCAGCTTAGATTTTTCTTCGTAACCAAATTTTCAAGTTAGTGATGAGTGCCTCCCAGTACATCTTTTCCTGCTTGCCCCACTGCCCTCCATTTTTCTGTGATTATGTGTGAGTGATCCAAATGTTAGCTCAAATACATCAAAACCTGCCTCAAGAACAGGGTTTCTCCATTTCACACTGAACTCCATAGTAATGGTACTTGCTGACCAAGTGGCCTTTTGTTCACCATTTAGTCAGGGTTTGCAGAAGTAATTCAGGCACTTGACTGTTGTAAAAAACAGTAGCTTCTGGTTTTCTGTAATGTTACTGGTTCCTTTAGAGGCAAAGTTACAGTGAGTCAAAGGTGGCATCCCTCTAGTCCAGCATCACACAGGCCATTTTATACCTCAGAAAAATCTGCGACGAGTAGATTTGCTTGTCTTTTCTCCCTTAGTTGTTAATTTGGCTTGTAGGTAATGGGAGAGTTATCTGCTGACTTGATGTATCTTGTTACAGAGCAATACTACCATGTCTTCAGAAGCACTTGGTTGAAAGCAGTAGGGAATGAAAAGAACTGCCTTTAGGTCTAAGCCTTAGGAAGGTGAAGCCAGAGTCTGTTCAAGCAGCTGAAGTCCACATTTCAGGAAATATGCACAGACCCAACTGAAGAATGAGCAAGCACCTGGAAGAGAGCAGCTGGGAGCAATTACCTATGTAAACCACAGGGGTAACAAATCCTTGGCTGAAAGTATGTCAGAAGCTGGAAAAGCTTCAGAGAAAATCATCCTGGGCCCTTTGTCACTTATTAATCCCTAAACACTAACATGGCAAGGGCTCTATGGGCCAGAAGCCCCACAAGCTGTCTTCTGTTATTTGCAATGTTTGTCGGAACAGTCCTGAAACTGCAGTAGGAAGCACACTAAGCTACAGAAGCTTCTTCCACAGCTTGTCCCTTTGCAGCTTGTCTGAAGGCACAGCTTAGAGACATTCAGTCTGCTGAGGCCAGTGCTAGGCTGCTCCTTAACCCTCAGCAGTCCTGTGTGCCAGCCATCTGGCTCTAGTCACAATCCTGCATTGTCTTCGCCTTCCTTGTAGATGTGAAGGTCTTTTGGATCCCAGACTATAAGTTATAACATTATCTACTAACCCATCAGATCTGACACTAAAAGTGTTTATTAATGGCCTATATCACCTTATGAAAGGAAAAAGTGTGAACCCAGTTGCTTGTCACCCTACTCACCGCACCAAATGCCGTATGGAGGGACTTACTCCAGTATGTCCCTGTCTCCTGCTTCGTCCTGAAGAATCCTTCCTTATCCAGCAGGCTTCTCAAAATCCATAGAGGGGAAAACCCCAAATATGTCCCTGCTGTTGGAGCCTGATTTTCCCCAGCAAACAGCAGGGGCTTGAACACGAGTGGGTTCAGGGCCCCATTCGGGTCCCCTCTTGCAGCTGTGCGCGGGGGACGAGGCACAGCCCGCCACCTCCTACTCACCCGCAGGGAC